TAAGGCCCATATTCTTGCGGCAAATCAATTTGAGCTCCTATAGATGCAAATGCTAGAGCGCTATTGTAACTTCTAATGTTTTCTCAAAAATTTTTTGATTCAACATCGGTTCCTTGTAGAAGAGCTCTGATTTCATCTGGATATGGCAGAAGTTCTGGAAGTTGAACAGATCCGTAGTGACAGCATTGCTTGAATTCATCCTGTCTATCAGAAGCGCACTCATCCTAAAAGTGCAGAGCGTTGCAGTCTTGACAGATACTATCCATTCTCCCATGACAACTTTCAGGAGGAAATTCGTCTCGAAGTGCAACTCCATACAAAGATGAGTTTTGGTGTCGACGATGACGTTGACGAAAACCGTTCTTCGGTTGTCGTGCAAGTCGTTCATCATTAGTTTCTTCTTCTCGTCGTTTTCTTTCTCGTGATGCATTCTTCGCTTGTCGTTCAAGTCGTTCATCATCAGTTTCTTGCTCCCTTCGTCCCTTTACTTGTGATGCATCTTTCAACTGTCGTTCACGTCGTTCATCATTAGTTTCTTTACTCGTGACGCAATTTTTCACCGTCGCTCTTGCTTCTCTTCTTCTGATACTTGCCTGTATTGCAAACGATATCTTGCTGCATTCAATTGCAGTCGTTGCTTTCTCTTTTCTTCCATTTGTTGTGTACGTCGTTCTTGAATCCTTTTGTATCTCCTAAGTTGTTTCACCTTAGGGCTATCATGCGATGTTTCGACTTCAGGTTGGCTAGCAGCATCGTCCAAGTTCGAGATATTCTGCTCGTCAAGTGCTGTTGGCATTAACTTGTCATATTCATGATCCATTGTAGAATCGCCTGTTGTGTCAGTCATCATTCATATCAGGAAAGTGGTCTGTTTTGCAGTTGGGTTGAGTCTATTTATATCCCTCTATAACCTATGGTAGAATCTTCCAAAAAATTCTCAATCATCCATGACGTCATGTATGACGTACAGTCACTGGAAATTTCTGGAATATTCTAGAACGTTCCAGTAAATGCTAGATCATTAAAGCGATCATAGAAAATTCTAGATGAATCTAGAACATTCTTAAATAGTCCAGATATTTCTAGAACTTTCTAGAGATATAGTAGCACCTGCTTCGACCTTTAATCTTTAACCTTTGACCTTTAACCTTTAACCTGTGACCAATGTATAGAGTTCTTAGCTAAACTTCTAAAATGTTCTCCAGAACATTCTAGAAACTTCTACCAACGTTCACATAATTTGCGAACGT